AGATTCTGGAAGTTTTAATGAGGCAGAAGGAGGAGAGGACTGTTTAAGGATTTTAATATGAAGGTTATACATGGTGGCACTGTCTAAAACTAACTGTGTTTTTCTTTGTCCTGTGGCCTAAATTTGTTTTAGAGATGTTCTGCTGCTAACTAACAGACAAACCAAAAACATAACCTCCTTCGCAGTAGTAATTAGTCAATTAATGGCAGCCACTGGAAATGAATATTAATATGAATACTATTCATTTATTAATCAGTTATCTAGCAAAAACACCAAAGCAAAGTGTCTGTGGGGTCTTAAAAATCATAAAATCCAATAATCTGAAATTCAGGCCTTAAAGCTGCAGTAGATAACTTNNGAGACAGATAATCTGTCAAAAAAATCAGGTTCCTCTGGCTCCTCCTAGTGCTCCTAATGGTATTTGGTTAGGGTTAGGGTTAGGGTCTAAAAGGAAACAACCAATCAGAGCTGAGAAAGATGGTTGATTGTTTATCCTGACACTTTGGGTTTGCAGCTTGCAGATAGTTGATTGTTGAGGAATGAGACTTAACAATTACAATCTTTCTTGACTCTGATTGCTTGTTGTTGATTCTTGCAAATGCCATCAGGAGCATTAGGAGCCAGAGGAACCGGATTCAGCAAATATGACAAAAAGTAATTTTTTTAAAAGTTACCTACTGCAGCTTTAAAGTGTCCTAAATATGATTTTGACAGGTTGGATTAAGTTAGCATTACTTGTATAAAGTAGTATTTTTCAGTCGCTTTTAAATGTGCTTTTGGGAATTTTTTTCTATAATAACTACAAAACCAAACTGACATGGAATCAATAATGACTTTTCTGTATATCTTTAGTACTTTTTTTGCCAGTATGTATGTAAAATAGCTCTTAAATTGCATTCATAATGGTGTTTCAAAAGTCTCAAATTGAACCTGTTGAAACCTGCATAAACCCTGCTATAATATCACAGCAGCATGAAGGTTACACTCAGTGCAACTAAGCATAAGCACCCCTCCCTGTCTGTCTGTGTGTGTGTGTGTGTGTCAGCCTCAGAGCCACACCTTTTGTAATGGACAGAAAACCAGTCTCACCACATCAGACATCACAGCTGGAGGAGCAGCACTAAAAACATGTATATATAGTTTGTGTGTGTATGTGCATATGTAACCTTTATGTAAGAGCGCGGTGAAGGGGTGTTTCTCTCAGCATGCCAGGGTCAGTGGTTGTTCTTTTCACGGCTGTCTCTGCAGAGTTAGACATTACATCAGTCTGAGGCCATCATCAGACATCGCTGGACCCACAGACCAAGCAGCAAACATTTTTATTTTTCAGATTAGCCATATTTTCATATATATTGCATATATTGCCAGATGGTGACATGTCAATTTCACACACCATAGGATTTGTATTGTGGAGGTATGTGGGTGGTTCTAAATAAATGGTTCCATATGTGACAACTGGGATAACAGATTGCCTACTACAATACAATACAAAAGTGATATTAATATAAATGGTATGCTCAGTCATCATCATCTGCATTCCTGTCTGACAGACACTGTGCGTTTGTGTGTATACTGTATGTGTGTGTGTGTGTGTCTGTGTGTGTGCACTTTCCTCTCCAGTAGCACAGTAGCAACATGGGAATAGTGATGTTAAAGTCATTATGCAGGAAGGCAAAGGAAACTTTTCCAGACAGTGTGTATCATTATGGATCATTGTCCATAGTTTACACTAATACACACAAATCTGAGAACTTTTCCTCACCACTTTGGTTCTGTCACCCACGCTACACTGACATTTCCCACTGCTGAAAACTGGTTTGGATACATTTGAAAACATGAGTCTTGAATGGAGAAAATGGTCACATTTGGTTCTGGCTTCTTTGGAGATTTTTTGCTTGACTTTGTTACTTATAATAGTCAACTGAATATATGTAGGTTTTGGTGTGTGTGGTGACATTAGGAGATTTGAGGGTTAAAACAAGGCCAGAGCATAAAGAGTCTGGTGCAAAAAGTCCGAAGCTAACTAAAGCTTTTCCAAATGTCACCAAACTTTACAACTAATGTGCACTTTTTACTGCATTCTTAAGCTGACTGTTGAAATAAAGAGACACAAAACCATCAGGAAACCTTATTTTGAAGGATGCCAAAATATTTTCTATGTATGAAAAAGAAGTGTGTTGTGTAGCGTAAAGTACATTTCTCTCTATAGCTAATCACATGATACAGGTGTTTGTTTCATTCATTTGAGCCTAAAACACGGATCTGGGCTGTAACTTAGAGCTATTTTCATTGTCATTCAATTATTTTTTCAATTAGTGGTTAAGTTAAGTCTAAAATGTCAAAGAAATTGTCTCCATCACAATCAGAATTTCACTGACTTGTTTCTTCCAATTATGTCTCCATCCATGCAGGTAGCCGTCCCACAGTGCAGTATGTGGCCTCACTTTCCGAGCTGCCCCAGGCCCTGCAGCCCTACTACACACAAGGCTACATCCTGACCGCCCTGCACCCTATCATCCTGTCTGTGGGCCGGACCCGCTCACTGCCCTTCAGCTTGCTCTACCGCGCCATCCTGGCCCGTCCCAGACCCAGGTACACAAATCCTAACCAGGTTTGAACCCTATAACTAAAATGAAGCTTTAATTTCAATATAGGATGCTTACTTTTTCATCATTGTAAGTTTAGACCTATAGGACACATACTTATACACATTGAGATCTCTTTTTACCTTTAAGAGATACCTGAGAATAAGAAACATTTATGATCATACAACCACACAACCAGCAAGAAAAACAACAAAATGAGGCCAGACAACCACAATCAACAAAGAACTAGTCAGAACAATGACATGAATCATAAAAACTTCTGATCATAAAGCTTTAAAATCTCCAAGGGGAATGAAGGAATCTAGCTTGAGGGCAGCTTGCAGTTCATTCAGTTTAAAAGCTGTATAGTACCTGACATAAGTTTGGTCAGATGTTGAATATGAATCTAGATTGACAGTCTCTGACAGCTGTCAAGTATTTGTTTGACTCAGAAAGCCTTATCCCCATAAACAGATAATCTGCATATGAATGTTGAATCTTTAGACAAGCTATCACAGCATTCCTTCATTTGTTTCTGTCTTTCCGTTTGTAGTCTGAGTAGTATTGACCAAAAAGGTTTAAAGGTTTGAGCAGGCTTTGGTTGCAAGCAGTGTGTTGTGTTAAGAGTATATTTTGTTCAGTTAAGTTGATTAATCTGTTGTATTAGCTTTGTTTTCCTTCAGTGAAAATGTACACTGCATTCTCATATACTACTTCCTCAATAAAACATACTTGACAAAAAAACAAAACAAGTCTATGATTAAGAAGTTGTAATTGGAAGGAATCAAAGGCAGACTGAAGATGAGAGATGAGCCTGGGTTGGAGTGGAGCCAGAGGCATATATAATTAAGTTATCTGCATATACATGGACATTGAAGTGCTGATTAGGAAGAACAGTGTTTTTTACGTGTAAATAATAATGGACCAGTAATGGACCCCTGTGGCACCCCATTACTAATGGTAAGAGGGCTTGACACAGCACCATCGGCCACAGCAATCTGAGTTCTTCCTGTAAGGTACTCATGGAACCAGATGAGTGCAACATCATCTAGACTGTAGTTTGTAAAATAGGATGCTCTGATCGACAGTATCGAATGCAAAAAGATTACTGTATACAGGCTGTGTGTGACTCCCCTCCCTCTGCCACACATACCTTCCCACTGTGCCCACATGTTCACTATCATACAGTCTAGTAAATAGATGAATGATAGATGAAGTCAGCTGCATATTTAATGCAGAGCACTGGTAGGAGGTCAGACTGGCGTGCCTGGAGGAGGGGGAGACTATATTATGGTTTGACTTGGTCCTTGAGTCTACCATGATTTCTATTGGCTAGAAATCCACCCAACAACAGGGGTCCCACAGCAGCCAATGGAGATAGTGTCTTTATTCTGTGAGGTTTGATAGGTTGGTATACTGTTACTATGATGCTAACTTTTATTTCACAAGATGATGGCAGTAGAAGGGAATCGGTAATGTTAATGATAGTATTTTAATGCAACATTGTTATGTTATTTTACAGAAACTCACATTGCTGTTGAAAAGGCAGTATGGTGTGTATGAACTGTCGTCACTTCAATTTAGAGCTTTGATTGAGCCCTAATCCCTAACCAAACTTGAGCCCAAACAATTCTGTGCAAGCCCGAACCAAGCCTGAACCCGACCCGGACAAATAGAAGAAAAAAAAACAATAAATAATAAATTCACTCATTAATTACAGTTGCAAAATATTAAATATGTATATATTTTTTAAATCTAATTCTGTCTGAGCCTGACCTATGTTTTGTGCCCGAATCGGCCCGAACCTGGCGGGTTGTGTTAGGTCTGATTGGGCAGAGAATCAAAGATCTACTTCAATTGCCTAAATTGCTGTTTACCCTTTGTGTAATTGCTTAGACAGGAGCTGGTAGCCATGTCCTGCTGAGCCTATAAATAATTTAGGTGTTGGTGTCTGAAGCTCTGTGACAATTACGAGTGAACTATGAACCCTCGAGCTGGACAGGTTCAGTAGGTTTGGTGCCACCAACCCAGAAACTCCCTGCTGTCCTGAACACAGAAGCCAAAAAAGTCAACACTGTATTGTTGAACTTGTCACACTGGCTATCTAATAGATCTGTCTGTCTGTCTGTCTGTCTGTCTGTCTGTCTGTCTGTGCTTTCAGTAAGCAGACGGCGTCCATGTGTCACAGCGTGCCAATGTTGAAGGTAGAGGAGTGGCCGTTACCTGGAGAGTCACTGACGGGTGACACGGTCAGAGCACTCATCGACAGGGTCAGTGATATTTACTGCAACTTAGTCGCAACGAATGAGGGAGCTGCATTCTAAATGTTACTGTAGTGCAGTGGTCCATCATTATTAAAGCATTAAAGAAAAAAATAGGCAGACTTTCATCCCTTAGGCCTCTATAATATCTAAAATAAGTGAAATACTCAATACTTTGACCTTTGTGAGACTCTAAAATTCTTGAAGTAAAAGTAAAAAAAGATATTTTCACCTTTTCGGGAATCTCCAGGAGACTAAAATAATTTAAATACTGGATGCTTTCACCTCTTCAAGCCTCTAAAATCCTGAAAAACTTAAATATTGAATACTTTCAGCTCTTTAGGCCCTTAAAAAAATATTTACAAAGTGAAATATTGGATATTTTCAACTATTCATGACTATAAAAATCTGTGTGTGTAATATTTCATGCATTCACATTATCTGAGAATTAAAGGCGCTCAAAATTACTAAAATATTGGACACTTTCACCCCTTCAGGACTTAACAGATGAAATTCAAGTAAAAAAAAAAAAGTACATTTTTATGTTAATTTGACTTTGACTGAATGAGTAAATTACTTACGGTATATTATTTGTGAAAAATAATAATAATGCGTATATAATATAAGTATATAGTTTTGATATAGATATATTTGAAATAAAGTTAAATTGAAAGTATTAACGCATGGTAGAGTGCAGGAAAAAGAAAATAGAAATAATAATTAAAATATTGGCCACCACAGAGTGCATTATTGGGCCTTATATTATGACCTCCTTCCAAAGAATGCAGAAACAGAATCATATTTTGGTAAATGTGTGATAATTTCAGTTAATTAATAATTTATATATCCAATCTGCATAATTGTAAAACACCCAAACTGGCACGGTAACAATGCTTGGATATGCTCTTTGGAAACAACACCCTTGGAAACTGAGAAATGTTCTCAGTGAAAATGCCAATGAATTCTGTTGAAAACTGACCCAGCACCCTAGAAGTGATGCATTTCACACTCTGTTCTGTTTTCTTTTACTTTCCAAGCACCACTTAGTGTATGTTGTGTAAAAAGTCCTCAGAATTGCTTTATTGTAATGTTGAGCTGTATGGTAACAGTGTGGCTGGTCGTCTTTCTGGTAGGTGAACAGCAGCGCCCGGGGGGGCGTTCGATTCATCGGCTCGGTCCTCCAGCAGGTGAGCGGGATCACCAACGGCAGGGTGCACAGTCCAAAGAGGGGCTGTCGCTCCCCTCCACACACCCCTCCTGGTACGCCGCCTGGAGACAGAGAGCTGGAGGAAAACACCTACAGCCCTGGTGAGATATTCGCTGCTCCTCTCATCACATTTCAGTTTGATTTTGCTCGTGGGGAGATGTTGTAACACTTCACAGGGCTGATGTCTGACCCAGGTCTCGGTGGACCTGCTGTCTCCCTCAAAAGGGATTAACATTTCCATGCTAACTGTTTCATTTTCTGTCCTGAGATTAAACCTTCTTTTACGTTTTCAGAGGCAGTTCTGTAACTATATTCTATTCATAAACAGGTAATAAATGTAGGTCAGTGTAGCTTTCTGTCAAACCAGATCTTGTTGACAAGCGTTCCAGTCTTTATTTCTCCTCATCCTTGCTCTCTTTTTCCTTTCTGCCTCCCTCCAGACTTGAGGTTGTTGGTCTTCTTCCACTCCTGGGCTCCAGGCTGTGCTCCTCTAGACTCACTGGCCTGTCAGTACCACCAGGGGGCGCTCTCAATGCGTGTTTCCAGGAAGGGCCAGGTGGTTAGTGCCCTGGAAGCTGATTGGCTAGAGCTGACTGCCGCCTACTACCGCAAAGGCTGGTCGTTGGTGGACTCGTTCGTTTACTGGGACACGCCTAAAGGTTGGTTTGATGTTGGAAGCTACACTCTTAAAGGCTGTACAGCACTATCAGCAGTGTGGATGAATTATATAACATCACATCAGCAGTGCACATGAAAGTCCTGTCCCCTGACAAACTAGATTACCGTTGATCCAGCTCAGACCCAGTCAGTCTCCTTTTCACCCAAGTTAGCAAGGAGCAGGTTAACATCGTGAACAGCAGGGGACCCAGAATGGAAGCTTGGGGAACCCCAACAACGAGTGTTATGAAATTTGGTCCACATTAATGTCCCCCTGAGGATGACTTGTAATCATCTGATAATCCCTGATTTAACTTCTCAGCTAGCACCATCATTAGGTCGACATTTCATTTTGTCCGATACTTTGGTTTATGACCAAATACCTGCAAAACTAATGACATTCCCATCAGCATCCGCTGGACTTTGTCATTAG